GTGTTGTGTGTGTGTGTGTGGTGTGTGTGTGTGTGTGTGTGTGTGTGTGTGTGTGCTGCTGTGAGTGTGTGTGTGTGTGAGTGTGAGTGTGAGTCGTGCTGTGGTGTGTGACTCACCTGACTTTTCCCTTGAGCAAGAGTCAACCAAGGCCCTCACTGACCCAGTGGCAACATGCAGAGGCTCGTCAGTTCGTCAGCCTCGACCTGGTTTCCTGAGGCGTGCAGCTCCTTGACCTCGGCTGCCGTGAGACTCAACCTGCAGGAGGGAGAAGAGGAGAGAAGAAGAGGTCAGGTGGAGGGTTTTTTAATTCTCTTTTGTCTCTTTCCCTGTCTCTTTCTCTTCCTTTCTTTCTCTCTCACTCTTTTTCTCTTTCTCTCTTTCTTTCTTTCTCTCTCACTTCTCTTCTCTCTCTCTCTCTTTCTCTCTTCTCTCTCTCTCTCTCTCTCTCTCTCTCTCTCTCTCTCTCTCTCTCTATCTATCTATCTATCTATCTATCTATCTTATCTATCTATCTCTATCTATCTGTCTATCTATCTGTCTATCTATCTATCTATCTCTCTATCCATCTATATGTGCTTCATACCCTATTCTCGCTTACTGTATTCTTCTCTAACTCTCATAAATATATATCCGAACAAAAGGCGAAAAAGGTAAAATAGATGAATAATAGAATAATAATAAGAGAGAAACAAAAACAAGTAGAAGAATGAAAAAGAAGAAGAAGAGAACAAGGAGAAGAAAAATAACATGGTACGAAAGAACAAAAAAATAACAAGAATAGGTACATGAAGAATAAGAAACGAAAAGGAGGAAGAGAATAAGAAACGAATAAAAACGAAGAAAAAGAAGAATAAGAAACGAAGAACAAGAAGAATAAAAAACGAAGAAAATAAAAAAAACAAAGAACAAAGAAGAAAAAATAAACAAGTACAAGACGAATAAGAACAAAGAACAAGAAGAAGCACGAGAAGAAGAAAAACATGAAAATCCAAAGAGAGGACGACCCTCACTGAGAAGAAGAAAATTAAACATAAGTACAAGAAGAATTAAAAAAAAAAAGAACAAGAAGGTGCACGAGAGAAAAAGAAAAAATGAAAAAACAGAAATGAGAAATCCGAAGAGGAAGGACGACCTCACTAAGAAGAAGAAATAAACATAAGTACAAAGACGAATTTTTAAAAAAGAAGAAGAACAAGAAGAAGCACGAGAAGAAGAAAACATGAAAATCCAAAGACCCTCACTAAGAAGACGAAAAATAAACATAAGTACAAGACGAATAAGAAACGAAGAAGAACAAGAAGGTGCACAAGAAGAAGAAGAAAAAAACGAAAAACAGAAAAATGAGAATCCGAAGAGGAGGACGACCCTCACTAAGAAGAAGAAAAATAAACATAAGTACAAGAAGAATTAAAAAAAAGAAGAAGAACAAGAAGGTGCACGAGAAGAAGAAGAAAAAAACGAAAAAAACAGAAAAAATGAGAATCCGAAGAGGAGGACGACCCCACTAAGAGAAGAAAAATAAACATAAGTACAAGAAGAATTTAAAAAAAAAGAAGAACAAGAAGAAGCACGAGAAGAAAGAAGAAAAAACGAAAAACAGAAAAATGAAAATCCGAAAAGGAGACGAACTAAGAAGAAGAAAATAAACACAAGTACAAGAAGAATTTTTAGTAGCAAGACGAATAAGAACGAAGAAGAACAAGAAGGTGCACGAGAAGAAAAAGAAAAAACGAAAAAACAGAAAATGAGAATCCGAGGAGGAGAAGAGGAACCCCACCGCGCGAAGAACTCGAGCGACGGTCTGCCTCCCTCCTCGGTGTTGGCGGTGAGTCCCAGGCAGCTGAAGTCCTCCAGCTGGTCCCTGCGGAGTCCCACCTCGTCCTTGGCCTCCCTGATGGCAGAGTCCCAGATCTGGAGAGGCAGGACTATCAGCTGGGTACAGTTTTTTTTTTTGGTCATGGTGTGGGAAGTTTTTTTTTTGTTTTTGTTTTCTTGTTTTCGTTTTTGCTTAATGTTTGTGTCTAAGTAAGTAAATATATTCATACACGGTAACACAATGTAATGTACACTGTTAAATATATTCATTTTTTGGTTAATGTTTGTGTCTAAGCAAGTAAATATATTCATACACGGTAACACATTATACATATACGCGTACAGATGCATAGTACATACACACACATGCCTACATATGCATAAAATACCTATAATTTATTTTCCCTTTGTTTCTCATTTTAACCAGATAATAATAAAATGCATATATTTAAGGAATGTAGTAAAATGTTTCCAAACCGCTGAAGATTTTAGCCCACATGTCCACACATGTATTCTTCTCTCTCTCTCTCTCCTCTCTCTCTCTCTCTCTCTCCCATCTCTCTCTCTCCTCTCTCTCTCTCTTTCTCTTCTCTCTCTCTCTCTCTCTCTCAACTCTCTCTCTCTCTATCTCGTCTATCTCTCTCTCTCTCTCTCTCTCGTCTCTCTCTCTCTCTCTCTCTCTCTCTCTCTCTCTCTCTCTCTCTCTCTCTCTCTCTCTCTCTCTCTCTATCTATCTATCTATCTCTCTCTCTGCTCTCTCTCTCTCTCTCTCTCTCTCTC